AACCTCATCCTAACCTGAACCTAATCCTAACCTGAACCTCATCCTAACCTGAACCTCATCCTCATCCTAACTCTGAAACCAAGTGTTAACCCTGAAAAGGCTTTTGAAGTTGTGCGGACTGACCTAAATATCACCACACTGATCATTTCTGTCCTCACAACCACTGAAAGACGCACAAACACACTTTCATGTACGTTTTTAATAATTGACCAGCGAGCACGTATATGTGCCAACTTCAGACAGTTGTTATCCACATGGTCGCTGCATGACTCCACAGCTGGCTGAAGGCACAGAAACTGAGGAATGATCTATTTTTTAAACTCTGTCTTTCTCTCTGTAAATCTCTGAGTTACATGTCTCCTGCTTTTCGTTTTTGTTGTTTCAACATCTGTTCTTAGATTTGTTACAATCACACGATGGATTTTTGTTTAATTTTTATTAATTTTAATTTGTGTTAAACCGATCACACCAAATTATTTTCATGTTTCATATATAAAGAACGCAGCAGGAGATGTTCAGGTCAGACGTGCTCACAACAACAGGAAAATATATGGAGTTTATGAGAGTTACACTAGAGAACATCCTTAGTTCCTGTTGTATCTGTTGCAGGAACAAAGCAGCTTCCATGAACTTTAATTCAAAATGTGACTATTGTCAATATTACTGATGGTACAATCCCCCCCCCCCCACACACACACACACAATCCCACAGACACACACAAACAACATCCTCATGCATTTGCAATGTCGGCACATCCTTTGACAGCTGGACACAAAAAGACAGAAAGAGAGAGATAACTATACAGAGAGGTATCCAGAGACGACTGAGAGAGAGAGAGAGAGAGAGGGAGCAAGACCTGTTGCCATGGTGACACGCCCCATGTGTATGAAGACGGTTGTTGAATAAGTGACCTTGACAAGCCAGATGTCTATCTGCCTATTCAAGACACAAACACACACACACACACACACACACACACACACACAAAAGAGGCACAAGGCATTGACATGCAACTTCAAAAGGTCTGAAAATAAAGAATCTAACGGTGACGGACAGAAAAAAAGAAAAAAGTGTTGGTCACAAAAGTGAGGAAAACATGGACGGAGCTGTAGCTGAAGGTAAATATAAGAGAAAACATAATGGATATTTCTTTCATGTATTATCTACGCTTCAGAACCACCGACTCCGAGGAGAGAGAGGCATTGGTCGACTTAATGCTTATTCAGTTCTTTTTAACCACTTTGATCCGGTTGCATGCAAAGACCCACCAGAGCTTTTAATACGAGCATTTCACAGCTCTCTGTGTTTTGGGGGTATTTTTGTTATTTTGGAAAAAATGTAGGAGATAGAGCAGCAACAAACGCCTCTGGCTGGAGTCAAACCAGGGACGCTGGGGTACATGGTCGGCATCTTAATCCCTGAGTCTCACAGGTTTACACTGTGGAAGTGACAGGAAGCTCCCACAGCTACAGCAAACTCTCGCCCTGCACCTTTCTGGCAGTTACACTCTGTGGAACTGAAATGATCAACCTGCTGTGCAGAGGTAGTGTCTGAACTGTGTCCTCCTCACAGGTCGAGTCGTACTGGTGGTGAACATTATTGGTTTTTTTAGTCCGGTGGATTTAATTCGCTCTAAACCTTCTGGCTGAACCAGCTATTAAAAGGCCGGAACATTCAAAAATACCTCGGTCGTCACCACGGGTATGTGAGGAAGTAAAGTTTATTTATATATTTTCACAGACATGCGAGTCGCAAAGAGAACACACACCCTAATATTTAATGACAGTCATTAGGACAAACTTCACACAAGAAACACAAAATCCATCTTGTTAGGAAGCTCCACTAGAAGAGGCCACATGCCTCCCAGACCACGTCCGAATGTGGTGATCAGATCTCGAATGTTCTTGGCTGTGTTCACGCCCGTACTTGTGATCGGATGCGGAGGTGTCGACCAAAGCGTTGCTCTCTCACTTTGAATGCGGGAATGTCAACTGCATTGTGGTTCCGTTTCTTGCGCTGCGTATGGATGATTTAAGCAGAGTTCACGCTCCAGCCATTCGAATCACATCCATGTGGAAGAGGAGGTTCACTTTTACTTCTTTAACTCAGTTCACGTCGTCGTTTAGATTGTGGACTTCTGCCAAGACATGCAATCCTTCTGTTCTCCAGCATAATTCTACGTAACGTTTGCATTTTGGTCGTTTATCATCTACAACGTCCAGGAGGCAACGTGAACATTAGTCTCAACACAAACAAAGTGTTAAAGATAAACCAGAACGTTTAAAAAACCTCCGTCTTTTGGCAGAGCTTTTGTTTTTGTCTTACGTTTAATTCCACTGCCTTCATTCATAATCATAATTCAGAATGAGTTTTACCTCACGAGAGGCTCTAATGAAATATTTGAATCTAAAACCTAATGTTTCACATCCTCTGACTTTACTTGCGACCTGTTTAACTTTGCGTGTTTGACCGTGTCTTCGTGTTACGTTTGATTTTGAAGTCAATCTGCTGTGACCTTTTTTCACTTTGGCTTCAAACTTGATGTAAGACCTTTTTATAGTTCACCTGTCACATGCTCACATACTCGCTGTCAGTCTCACAGCCAGTCGTAGTTGTGCTGAAGTCGTGGCAGTGGCTGTTTCTGTAAATATTGGGGCTGCTGACCGGCGGGGAAATGTTTAATGGCTAACCTCAGCTCCCTAATACAGTATTTATACAACTAACAAATAATTTAGAGGTACCTCTGCTTGACACATAACCTCTCTCTGACTGCCGGTCCTTCAGTTCAGATTTTCAAACTGCTTCTGTATTCTATTTTCCAACGTGCCGTCAACTGTTATGTCATTTTGGCTCAATCCCCATTCACTCTGTGAAAATGTCTCAGACTTGCCGTCATAGATCAAAAACACTGCTGCAAAGATAATGTGCATATTTTGTTCAAAGTCGAGTGTTATAGATACAGATTTCACCCAGTAACACAGGATGATTCTGCTCTCTGACTTCATGTCCAGGCAAAGGTCACACATATTTAAAAATGCATGTCAAAATTAAAAATGCAACAGTACTTGTGCTTCACCATCTGAAAAAAGGGGAATGGTTCATGGTTCTGTGGCGTCAGAAACCTGCTGTTTGTGCTGTTTGGTGCAGATCCAAGTAAGAATTGGGATCAAGTGACTGTTGGGCCTTGAGATGCACTCGGAGGCTGCATACTGTATTTGTCCTTCCATCTTCAGATGTCTCGATGGCCTTCAGTGAAATCCAAGGGATGACCTTCATACACAAACTGTCGGCTGAATGCATCATCTTCTTTTCTTTATGCTGTGACACTGAGTCTGATTTCCATCTCCACTGTAGTCTCGTTGCAGGCGCACTGCAGAGCAAATAATGAAACTGCATGTCGGCAAGCTGAATAACAAGAACGTTCTTTGAGCTCAGCATGAGGCGTCCCTGCATGAATAAAAGTTGGGAGGGAGAAAAAGGGGAACATCGTCTTCAAGATTTCATTTATGTGTTTGGTGTCATGAAGGATAATTCAGTTAAAATTTATGGACAGAAGCGACTCTGACCCAGATAACGTAGCTGGAGAAATGAAACCACACTCCACACCGCAGATAATCAGCGCGACACAGATTTTGTGGACCCACACGGAATATTTGTTTGTGTATCTTGTCAGAACAAGATCATGAGCCACTATCCCAGAAAATCCCCCTCTGTGCCAATAATAACTCTCCTGCTAAGATGTCCTTATAAAACAAAGTTCACCAAATGTTTCCAGACAAACAGATAAATAAATGACACCCAGATGGTGACGGAACAATTTCCTTCTTCATTACATTTAATTTATGTTCTTGATGCAGAGTTGTGTATCGTTTTTAATGCACCCCCCCCCCTCTCTCTCTCTCTTTACAGCCTGTCCTCAGGGCACCTTCAAGTCATTCCAGGGGGGAGGATTATGTCAGCAATGTCCGCTCAACAGCCGCTCCACCATCGAGGCGGCCACCCTCTGTGGCTGTCGGAACGGCTATTACCGCGGCGACATGGACAAACCTGAGGACGTGTGCACCAGTGAGTCCGTCTGTATCTCTGTCAAACAAAGGCACACACACACACAAACACAATAAACCTGTCAATAGTGCAGTCGAGTGAGAATCTGGTACAGAATACAGGTTCGTGAACGTGTGATCTTTGCTCTCTTACCAATAGCTGTCGTATTAAAGCTCGTCAATGCTTGACATTACATGCAGTGCAGCGGCTCAATATTTAAAAAAAAATCAATATCCGCCTCTACTTTCTAATTCCAACTCTAATTTTATGCGTCTCATTCAGAGTTAGTGTGCCGCAGCGTTCCCGCCCTTGTTTGGGGAATTCGGGAGCAGTAAGTAATAACGCTGCCACGTTCCTCTGGCGTTCCATTCAGGTGAATATGTGTTTAGTGTGTTGAAGAGGCGACATTGCTATTCAAGACGAGGCACAGTCAGACAAATGCAGGCTCCTCGTTCCACAGAGAGATGGTGTAAGTAGGTTAAAACATGAATCACTTTGGACTGTCGAGCGACTGTGTGGCTCGTCTCAAACCGTGGACTACGCTGCGTATGTGCACAGGTGCATGTGTGTGTACGTGCACAGGTACATGTGTGTGTACGTGCACAGGTACATGTGTGTGTACGTGCACAGGTACATGTGTGTGTACGTGCACAGGTACATGTGTGTGTACGTGCATGTCCTGGTGACCTGGATAGACGATTCTTTTTTGGGCAGCAGAGAAAAACTCTCATTCACAAGATGGACTTTATTTTACTGTTTTTTTAACTCACACCTGAATTTATGTTACGATTAATTTACATTCTCCCAAGTTACAAATTATATGATTTTATTAAATGAAGGTTTCCTCTGTTTACCAGTCAATCAGCTCCTCATTTTACGAAACTGATCCAACCTGCACAGCTGAAGACTTATTTAAGTTGCCTTTAAATCTGAAAAGAAATCCTCCTGACTTCTGGTGGTATCACTTTCAAATCAGTTTTCTCAAATTGTCTGAACTTAAAGATTTGTTTGGCCCAATTGTCTTTTTTGAACTAATTGCCTGGCCCCTCCCTCTCTGTGTGGACGCCTGCTTCCTCCCACAGAGAACTTGTTTGTCTGTCGCTATATGTCAGCTCTGTGCAGGGTGCCCCCAACAGTGTCAGCTGGGATTAGCTCCACACCTCTGTGACCCCTCAACAGAATTAGTGCTATAGATAATAAATCTAATCTGGGAAACATAGGTAAAGGTAAATGTACATTTCACAATTTCGACTGTTACAATTCTGTTCTGCAGCTCGCTTTGTTTTCACGGCACGTACACACCACAGCACACTTGGAAGTAGAGACAAACGTGCGGACCCAAATACAGACAAAGACAAACTCGAGGTTCTGAGTAAAATCAGGAAGTCGTTTATTTCTAACGAAACACAGAGGTGACTGGGGGGGGTTCGGGGAATCGGACAGGATCTGAAGACGAATGGAGAACGGGCACGGATTCGAACAGAGGCAACAGCAACAAGCAAGATCACAAAATGTTCCAGCGCAACCGAGTCAGCGAGCAGAGAGAGATCCGCCTATAGATTTAAACCACGAAGAGGGTTTACAGCTCTTTCTGTGTTTTACACTAAAAACATGAACATTATGGCTGCGTGCCATCATGTTTGAAGTAGTTTTTCTATTCAGTTAAAATATACTAAACCTCAAAGTGGCAATTTAAGAAGTGTTTTTTTTGTAATGAGACGATTTATGAGGTTAACTTATTCCGACAACAAAGAAAACACATGAAAAGCTTCACCTCAAACAACAGCAGCACCTTTGAATTGATGCTGACGGAGGAAAACAACAACGTTGTCAGGAAAAAGGTGGGAAATCCAGAGGGACTTTTAATTCAAAGGCAAAAACAAATTGAGGTTAAAGTTTTTTTTTCTTATAGCTACTGAACTACATATGCTCTTTATTTAAAAAAAATAAAAGGAATGAAGGAGCTTCACTTTATATTTAGTACAAATTCAATCAGATAAAATCAGTGAAATAAAAGAGTTTGGACATAGTTGCCTGAAAATGTGTGAACTGTGTACGTGCACGTACTGCTACTGTCTGTGTGTCCTATCCTGATTAACACGATATCTCAAAAACACCTGGAGGGTATTTCTTCAAATCTGGAATAAACCTTCAGTTTGAAGGCAAGATGAGCTGATTGGATTTTGGTGGTCGAAGGTCGATATTGCTTTATCTCAGGAACACCTCCAGAGAATCTTTTCAACTTTGGTACAAACATTCACTTGGACTCACAGATGAACTGATCAGAATTTGGTGACATTTCAAAACCTTTTTGGTCTACTGAAGGAAACATCTCAGAAAGTTGGTGCGAACATTTCCACTAACGTCTGTTTTTTGGATGCAATTTGAAAGGACAGAGTCAGTTTTCACTCCCGAATCCTCGACACTGCACGAGTTACAGGTAAAAATACACAGAAAGACCAAATCCTACACTGGCAGCAGGAAACAAGTCAATCGCCTTTTTTAGAGGGTTTAAATGGTTTTAGAACAACCTGCACTTTACCCACTCATTTTGGGGTAAAAGAGGTTTTGGACTGAAGGATGACCTGGTTAGACTTTGGCTGTCAAACTCCCTGAAGTGTGTGAAATGGTGTTTTATTGTTGCAAGTTAAAATGTGTTTGGAATCTCTCTCTTCCTACTTCTCCTGAATTAGAATGTGAAAATATTGAGTGTCTGACTGCGTTGAAGAATTAGTTTTTGTTCTGTTCAGATGAAAATAAGACTGATTGAGTATCTGTGTCAGCACTCCACATGTGCCTGTGTGCATATAATTACGAATGCACAGCTTTTGACGGGTCCTGTCTCTCTCAGCAGGAACGTTTATAAGATCGTGCTGCTTAGATCCCCCCCGTACTGATTGTTAGCACCGACAGCTCCAAGGTTGAATACCCGTTTTTTTTCCTCTGCAGTTTTTCGTCTCGACGTGTCGCGCGTCAGTCTGTCGAAGTGTCTGCGATGTGTGTGTGAGCAGTCAAGAAAGAGAGAAGCCACTTGGTTTAACCTTGTGGAAACTCAAAGACAGAGTTTCTGCTCACATCAAACATTTGAGCTAAAAGAAAAGACTGACTGCAAAGAGACAAAAGGACTCTGATTCTCTGACTGGTGGTGAGACTTACTCCTGCACTGCCCTGTTTAAACCTGTCTGTGTGGAGAGAGCTGTTCACTTAACCTGTGGTAATGCAGGTTGCAGCTTTATTTCTGAAACTTGAAAAAAAAAACGTGATCTGCAGTAATAGAGGTGAGACCGGCTGCAGGACTCAGTCAGCAGAACCCTGAGACCACGCCAGCGCTGCTTTGGGAAAATGTACTTTTTTGTTTGGTCCCATGTCCCATCTACAAACATGGAGGAGGCAGGGTTTAGGACCTGTACTGCAGCCAGCCACCAGGGGGTGTGCCAGATATCAGATACACATGTAAACTGTAACGAGGGTTATTCATCCAGTTTAAAATAAATAAACACATGAATGAACAAATAAAATACGGCATATACTCTAATCACATGACACTTATCGTAAGTGAACGGTTATATTAACTGAAACATCTCCAAACACAACATATAAACAAAATGGCAACCTGCTGGTGCCACATTTTACTCCACTGACATCTTGTGATAATAAAAATATCCATATGGAAGCTATTACTATGAAGCACTTCATTAACAGAACAAATGATTTACTGAATCGCACCATAATGAAGTTTGATTGAATCCAGGTGTGTTGCATTGAGCCGACAAAAAATAATGTGAATTCACCTGATTCGTATCTGCTTCACTTTGACAGTCACAGGGTTATTACAACACACGCACTTTTCTTATCCTCCTCTCTCCTCTCTCTCCAGGTGTCCCCTCAGCTCCTCGCAATCTGGTCTCAGTCGTCAACCAGACGTCGGTGCTGCTGGAGTGGCACACGCCGCGGGACACGGGGCACCGTGGCGACCTGTCTTACAACGTCGTGTGCCGCCGGTGCCACAGCAACGAGCGCAGGGCGTGTCAGCCGTGCGACGACGGCGTGGCGTTCGTCCCAGGAAAGCGGCGGTTGAAGGAAACGAGGGTGGAGATCAGCAAGCTGCGGGCCCACACGTCGTACACCTTTGACGTGCAGGTCGGTCCCTGAGGAGAGAGGGGGGGGGCTTTTTAAAGCTTTGTTCGGTCCTTTGAGCATCAAACACTAACCACGTTTAGGTTGAGATGTTTTTTACCTGCTGCTTTGTGGAGGATCACAGTTGGATTCATCCTGGATTCACAGTCGACTCCAACGACCCAGAATTACATTAAAATACATTCATACAATTTCACAAACCATTTCTGCAGCGTTGCTACCTCTCCACTGGTGATTTGTATGTTCAAAGCGTCTCTACAACTGTAGCTACACACACAACTAGTTATTTGCTCAGAGACCCTCCTTGATGCTTTCAACTCTTTACTTTAAATGCAAATACCTGCAGATATTTATTATGATGCTCGAGCATACTGCGGCCGCATTGATGTTTGCTGACACGCAGGCTTTTGTGCACAATCTGCAGTTGTATCAAGTCACCTTAAACACACAGAAGTCTTTAAAGCTTGTGCAGCTGCGCCGTCGACCCGGTTTACCATCAAAGCTGAGCGTCTACATCGAGATAACCTGCTGCGTCGTTGTTTAGGGACGAGAGTTCATAACTTAAACTTCTGAGTGTAGCCAGAGGAGACTGTTGACAGAGTTCAGTGGGTCTATTACAGAGAATTAATTTTTTTGGAATCCACTCAAACATAAAGAATAAAATCTTTAACAGTGAGAGACTCTGATGAATAATGAGACCCGGATCTGTCACGACTTAATCTTTCTTTAATCTGTTGTGGGAGGAACCGATCAATAAAGATGAATGAATGCATCATTAGAATAAAATGAGTGATTATGGAAGTTTTGAGAGTATAGAGATCATTTATAATTTTTTTTACAAAAAGGAAATAAAAACACTGACACCTACTCAAACTTTAACTTTAAAGAAGAAGGAAAGAAAAGAAAGAAACAGTAGAGGCCCCTAAGAGAGTGAATATCTCCTCCATCGCCAGGTGAAAGAAAGACAGCAGACCTCTCAGGATCAACAGCCTCTTTATGAAACCTCAACATTAAATTATTAGAAATGAAAGTTTCACACGTTCATAAACACCAGTCGTCTAAACATGACGAATTTGTTTTTTATTAAAGTTCCACGAAAAATTGAGAATTCAAAACGTGGTCTGAAGAAAGAGAAAAATCAACAACTCAATAAGAAATATCAGATAAACTAACACATCAGAATAAGTATTAGTGTTAATGCCTCTGAGGTGGAATCACTGACTACACTTTATATTCTACAGGCAATCAATGGAGTCTCCAACAAGAGCCCTTACCCCGCCCAGCAACTGTCAATCAACATAACAACCAATCAGGCTGGTGAGTGAGGAGGGCAGAGGCTGTGTGATGGTGTGTGTGTGTGTCTGTGTGTCTGTGTGTGTGTGTGTGTGTGTGTGTAAGCATACCCTGGGGCATGGTGGATTAAGCGAGGGAGGGATGACTCGGGGATAAATGAAATTGAGCTACAGTCCTTTAATTCATAAAACATGTCATCTGTCATCCTCTGTCTCCTCTCCTCTCCCCGTTCTGTCTTTTCCTGCACATCCACAGCTTTTATCCTGTTTCCCTCTTTCCATCTGTCTCTCTCTTCTCCTCTTGGAGCTTTTACCCCCTCCCCCCTCTCTATCCATCCCTGTCCTCCTCTCTCTCTCTCTCTCTCTCTCTCTCTCTCTCTCAATCTCTTGACATTACGATTCTTCGAGACTATAAAGTGAGCTGAGTTACTGCTACATCAGTTCTTTATAGAGACGGACTCAAGTGATATTTCCACCGCCGCCCAGATTTAGATTTAAAAGCTGCTTTCCTCGTCACATCATTTACCTCATCTACAGCAGCCCGGGCTTGTTCCTTATCAAAACATAATCCATTCTCACCTTGCTGCTGCTTACTGAGCACATATGCCACCGCAGTCAGGTGCAAAACTCTCTTATCCCTGAAATCTTTTAGGACTCAACAAAAAAGTGATTTAGTTTCAGGTGGATTTCACTTTGTGGGATTTAAATTTTGTGAAACGTCTTGAGCTTGTTTCATTAAACCCAAGGATGTGAAACCTACTATTAAGAGGCGCCTATTGTGGCAATGTTTAAAAACCAACTGCTTCAGGTGACAGCTCGGCTCATCCTGTTGTATTGTGACTGCACTGGCGTTTTACTCTTCTGTGTCAGATTCAAACCATCTCCCAGCATTTTGATGCTTTTTACAGAAAATGTAACACCTGAAAGTCGGGATCCTCCGAACGAAGGTTAATGTCTTTATTACGTTGTTTACATTTGAACCAATTAGTTTTAGTTTCACATTGTAATTGAAGGAGAGGACTTAAGATTCTGTGTGATGTATCCACGTCCTGTCATCATCACTTACATTGTCTATGCGTGCGTATAACTTTGGTGTGTTGTCAATTCGGCTGTTGTATTCAATAACTTTATTGAATTGAGTGCATAGATGAAAAGTAGTCTGTCCGTTTAAATGCTACCAGCACCTTCTGAAGTTTTGTATATTTTTTTATTTATTCAGAGTCGAAAACTAGAAGCAATCCTGTGAGCTCCTGTTATTTTTCCATTGTTTGATGAAGTCCAAACTATCAAATACATGTTTTCAGACAGCAAACAAACCGAACCATGGTCGGGCAACACTTTGGTCAGTTCACGTGGACCATGGGTCGGTTGTTTCAGTTTGAACCAATCTGAAAAGTCTGAAGGTTCGGCCCCAACAAGGTGTGAAGGTGCCCTAAGTTTTCTTTTAAGATGCTCACTGTTACTGGAGTTTAGATCAAGTGTCAGTCTCTCTGTTTTGATTTGTCCTCGTCTCGGATGAAAACCATCACAGTAAACATCTTGGAAGTAAAAACCACAGAAAACATCATAGCTAACAGCTTCCAGTTCCCAAAACTACGAGTGAAAATACATTGCAGACATAACTCTTGCTTCTCCATCAGTGACAAGTGCTGTGATTTGATTTCATGAGCCTGGATAAGGAAGTGGTTCTCTCCTCTGGGTGTAAATAATCCTCGACAATATGTCATTACATTACACTCTATATCTATATTTCTACAGTCATGGCATTTAAGCTTGGTGGCAAATCTTTTAACTGTCTAACTGATTGTGTACTTGTGTGTGTGTCTTTTAACAGCTCCCTCAGTAGTTCCCATAATGCACCAAGTCAGCTCTACAAGCCGCAGTTTCTCGTTGTCATGGCCACCACCTGAACAGCCCAACGGAATTATCCTCGACTACGAGATACGATACTATGAGAAGGTAGAGTGGAAAATTAACGGCCGTGTGTCTTTGTTTGTGTGTGTTTTTGTTGTTGTTGTAATGGTCAGTAATCCATTAGAGTCGATAAAACAGGTGAATCAGTATCAACTGCATCAAAGTCATTTATTATCGAGACTCGTCCCGAGGAGCAGATTTTACAAGAAAACACAACAGTTCATTAGTTTTACACAGATGTGGGATAAATTAAGCAGTCAGAGACACACAAGGATTTAGTTCAGTGATGCATGAAACACAAAACCATCGGGTGATTCGATTAGGTTGTGTTTTTTTACTACAAGGAAAAGTTAGATGAAAAGATGTGTTAGATGTGTCTATTAAATATGAAGCAACAGCCAGCAGACGCTAGGCTAGCTTAGCATACAGACCGGACGAAGGGTTCGCAGAGGTAGTTTTATAGATTTTAGCAACATTCAGTTGGCCTCACGTCTTCCAGACCAATAAGTTACAAAGCCTCATGTACTCATGTAATGCAGCTGCTAGCAGTAGCCATGTTGCTAATGGTATTGGTATTAATATCAGTGGGAAACACTGGGGGCGAGAGTCGTTACTTTATCGTCACAACATGTAAACCACTGGTTGATTAAGGAACTCATCATTATTATTAGTTCAGCAGCTGGGAAGTGTTCAGCGCCGCTCGAGACGTGACATGATGATTAATAAATGACGGCTGAGGGCAGAACCATGTCAACATATTGCTTTTGTTTTAGATTAATAACTCCTGTAATTGATTTATTTCCTCTCTCATCTGTGCCAGACGTCTATTAAGGAGTTGAGTTCATGTATCATCTTTTTTTTTTACGATATTATTTCCTCATAAGTCAGGATTAGTCTTGGAGCCATTATGCATATTTCATGGTGCCTGCAGTCCCACTGACAAGGTTGTACAATGACAGGAAGCCTTTTTTTTTATTCCAGCACAGATAAACTCCTGATAATAGTCATGCAGCAAAAATAAGCTGTGGTTTATTAACATCTGGCTTCACTGAGCTCTTGTCAAAGTAAATTTTGAAAGGAAAGTGCAGCTTTGGGCAGAAGGATGTGCAATTAAATTATCTTCAACAAAATAACAAAAGAAAAAGGACTCATGCACATCTCAGGGGTCTTCTGCAGGCTACCCTTCACTTCAATCGCTAGAAGAAACTACATTAACTCATAAAAAATTTAAAACACAATTATGGACAGTCATTTTCTTTTAACCCTCACAAACCTACAAAGAAAGTTTTATATTTGTGCCTTTTCTGATTTTATTCTCTCAGTCAGAAGTTTTATAGCTTTTGCCGTCCTAGTTGAATCATTAAATATTTTATAATTTTTTTTTAACAAGCGGCAGAAGGTGAAACTACATATTTAATAGCTGTTTTATAGGAATGTAATACATCAGCCGTCCCAGTCATTTTCTCTGTGATGCCATGACATGTTCTTCCTGCTCTTGTGCAGTTTTTCATTATGGTTTCTGTCTGCGTGGTGATGGCTGCATATATTCTCCACAAGTCCGTGGGGAGAAATGTTAAAGCCACTAATATTAATGCAGATTCAGCTCCTCAGTCTCTGTTTGGACCTCAGCATCTGCTGAAACCAGCACAAACCACTGGTTCTGCCTACAACAGCTGTTATGCCGAGCTCTGCCTGCAGCGGATGGTAAAAACCGTCTGGATGTTTTGATTCTGCACAAAGTTCTCTGGATCAACATCACAAAACTCCAAGTTAGATGTCTTTTTTTTATGAAGTGTAAACCAAATTTAGATCACTGCGAAGGGACTAATTTGGCAAGTTGGATATGTCTGGAAAATCTCTGGAGAGGCAGGAAGCATCCTTGTAAGGTTCCTGCACCTCGGCTGCTCTTTCCAATACAAACGAGCAGTTGTTGCCCCAGATGTTTGACATCCTTACTCTCTTTCTACGGACGAGCTTTTATCCAGGATCTCATTCTTTTAGTCACTACTCGAAGGTCGTGAACGTAGATTAGGGTTTGATCATGGAGGCACTGTTCTAATTAAGAGCTTCACCGTCAGGCTCAGCCTCATCTTCACGATAACACCCACATTTCAATCAAGAGAGACTTCTAGAGACACAAGTGAAAAAGAGAAAATTTGAATGAAATAGATGAATCAGACCCCAGCACGAAGTAGCATGCTGAGGAAGTAGTCCTGTGAATTAGGTGCTTTGGATATGAAGGACACTGGTGGTGGTGATTAGGAGCGGAGCACGAAGATGGGACATGTGATGAAAGCTTCTGATTGGACGTTTGGAAAGGATATGACCACGTATTCTGCGTTGAGGTTGTGCAGATGGTTCACTCATTTATCGTGGCACTCAACTGGACATTTTACATTTTGACATCTTACAGGTGATTGGCTCAAGGCGTACATGTCAGGTTGTGATTGGCCCCCTTCTGAGACTTGTCATGGCCGAGGACTTTGTGCATTCACGGAACCTGAATTAAAAAAGACACATCCCTCCTCCGGCACCACAGGGAGACCAGTGCTGCCCCCTGGAGCTAAACCAGGGAGGGGAAAATCAACAGCAAGAATCTGGAGGCTGCCATGACGAATGCCCACCACTTACACAAATAGACACAGATGAACTGCAGTTCACCATAATTCATGTTGATTCCTAACTGCTGAGGCGCCTGTTCAGATTTGAAGGGAGATGGAAGAGTTCTGTAGCCGCAACAGTAACTATCAACCCTCAGTGTTTTGCAAAGGAGAATAAACCACGAGTGTGATGATGAAAAATGTCACCCCACTCTTTCAGACATCTTGAGAGCACTATCTCCGTATCTGAAACCCTTAACGACTAAAAGACTAAAGCAGCGATTTACACTCTCTGCTTTAGTGGAGGCTGTTGAAATCCCAGCTCCTAAACTCCTGTGCTCCGTGAGGCTGTCTGACTGAAGCAATCAAGCCTCCAGCTGTTCTGTTGTGGACAAGGTCTTAAACCTGTAAGAACCAGGAGACGAAGGCGCAGAACGCTGTCAGAGTCCAGTGATCAAAGACCTCTACACCTGGGGCACCAATAACGGCTTCTGATTCAGGGGCGAAATGTTGAAGACCTGATTGCTTTCCCATCAAAGACATGCTGCTCTAAGAAAGAAGGATAAAAAAACTCAAAGAAACGACAATTTGTGGCTGCATATCTTGTCTTTCTTTGTTATTCAGTCAATGGGAAGCAATGCCTGTTTGAGAAGAATTAAAAGCGTATCTATATCACCTCAAGCTAAGCACAAGAATATCCTCATCTTTTTTGAAGCTGAGCCAACAGCTGCAAAAACAGATAGACTTTCACCGCAGTCGGATAAAAGACAAAGAGCCAAGCACCTACAAGGGATTGTGTAAGATGCACGGAAAAGTACAAGATGCCTCCTCATCCACTGCCCACATCTGAATCCCTGCCATCTTTCCTTTTCCTTTTTTACAGAAAATAGTTTTTGGCATTCTTTGGGGAAACCACATCATTTCTCTGCGCTAATTTCTTTCCCTTTTAATACATACTGACAGCGTGGTGGTGCTTCCTTAACTCACTGAAAGTCTCCAAACAGAAACTGCAAACTTTAAATGCTCGAGACTCTCGTCAACTCTTTCTTATCTATTCTCTTTGATGAAAACACTCAGGCACAGTGAGTAAAGTCCATGACTCCAGAGGGCTCGCTCACAGATTTCAATTTTCCTGCACAACGGAGTATATGGCTGTGATTTCACTGTGCTGCACAGGAGGAAGAGAGAAAATGTGTTTGTGCGTCGTTTTTATTGTTGGGGATATTATTGCTGCTTTGAAAGATTGTGGTGTTGATCAGTATTCTCATGTAAAATCCTACGTGACTATAAATACAACAGTAACACAACCATTCATCACTACACAAGTGATTAAACAACTCTGAGCTACGCCTCCCAACATGTGTTAGTGCGTTTGATAATTGCTTTGAACTATTAAAGCAAATTAACCAATAATTTATGTATGCAATCATCATTCATAACCTTGGTCTCCTACAGGTATATATTTGAATGAGATTAAAGTCTTAACCACATTATATTCCAATCAGGCTTTTCTCCAGCATACTCTTATGTTAGAAAATGCTCCTAAAAATGTTTAACACATGCAGATGCAGCGTCTAATGTGCGATGTAATGGAAGCTGGGTCATAACCATCCTCATGAGCAATTTCCCTTCATAACACAAAGAGATTTTCCAGAGCTCATTGAGTGTTATTCATCTACAAACAGTCATAGCCATGCCAAGAGGGAAACGTTTGCCGATCCTGCTGTGCCAGGCTCACTATCATGCAAACTAACTGTTGATTGTCCTTGTCAGAAAAACAATTTTGCAAGTGGAAAGAATGAGCTGTTTACCTTTTTCTGAAGAGTTACTTGTTGTTGTCATGAAAATACTGAGTTTCCTCTCAAAAGCAAAAGCTGCAGTAGTTTGCCTGCTGAGAAACGTCTTAGGAAAGAGTTCTGGTGGGAAATTGGCCTCATCAACGATTGAGCTGGCAGATAAGAAAATGTTTGATGCACTTATATTGGTCATTTTAGAAAACTCTTGAGATTACTCTTTTTGTTATTGTGGGGTTTGGAATTTGTTCACAAACCTATTGCTCCTCTTGTTAGTTGGAATAAAAGAATTTGGAGAATTTGCTAAAAGACCTTTGACAGCACTGTATTACGTCAGCCGAACATACAAATGGATGTATGTATGTAGCCTACTTTAGTCCAGATAAGTCCCAACTCAATACACAATACACTTTTTACATATTAGTTTAAAACTGCAGTTAAACAAAGCTTTTTTATTTATGCTGTATTGTCTGTTTGAATCTCATCAAACCTTCTTGCCACAATAATTCAGTACAGATAAAACCAAAAGGTGTCACAGCTTGATATTGGTGTAAAGCAACAGAAGAAAAATCTTACGACAAAACGAGTGTTCCTGAAACGTATTCCAAAGTTTTGGTAACAGAGAAGTTCCAGGAAAAGCAGACAAAGGAAGCAAAAGTTTGAGACTCTGCCTCTCGGAGAGCAATTAGAGGGAGTCGGGGACATCGTGGAGCAGTGCACTCGCTGGGAGATGAACTGTAGCTGCAGTCTGACAGTCACAGATAAAAACCTGCACTTAGTAAAAAAAAAATCAGGGCAGCGACTTTATTGTAAGACGGCCATATGTGCTGCAGCCTTTTGCTTTCAGGTTATTTAGCATGGAAGCCAATTAAGATTCAGGCTCAAAGACTTAAAGTTTGTTCTTTCATTGTCTCCTGTTGTCGCCTGTCTCATTCTTCTTCCTTGATATTCATCTCATACTGTATTTTATTCTGTAGACAAGCCGAAGGCATTAAGTGACTAATTTTAGCTCACAGCTCCAAGTGAAGACGTTTTTCTGGTACTTTGTCATTTCTCCACCTTCCTTTTCTCCATTTTCTCCTCCACCACCCCCACCCACTCCCTCACCTCCCTCCACCCTCTTAGCCACTCTATAGATAATGAGGTTTTAATGTAGTAAATTTGATATGGTGCAGGGAGGCAGGATTTTCCCCCCCACTACTTATCTCTGGCTACCAGACCTTCCCAGATGGGCTGTCCCCTAACCTCTTCACTGTGGCAAGCATAGAGCGCACCCCCCCCACACACACACACCTCCAAACTCCAACCCTGACACAACCCTCCCCATTTCTGTGGTCACTTCTAAATATAACTCTCTATATCTTATTCTCCCGCAGCAACTCTACAGTTGTCTCGTACTTATTATCACAGTAGGATTAGTCCAGTCTGGTTGTAGTACAATTTTCCGTGTATAGATACGGTTCCGTCTCGTCTGGGTTTTATATACTGGTGCCAAACCGAACACTGCATTGTGATTCGGTCCGGTGGGTTCCAGATGTGCCTGGTGATTGGCCTGCATTTCGGTACCCAACCCTATACATAGATCTAGATGGTGAAAGTAAAAAGAACTTCATTGATTTTTCTCTATGTTCTATCCACAGAGCTTTTTTTAATCACACTGTACTCACACACTAATGGAACAGCCTTCAGGGACCATTTAGGTTTCAGTGTGTTGCCCCAAAGACACTTTGCATTGGGAGGAGGCAGGGATCAAACCACCGACCTTCTCGTTTCCTATTTATCTCAGATAAAAAACTGCAGCACCTGTGGCTCTACCTCCCAAGCCACAGTCATCCTCTTTAGATCAAGCTCCAGTATGTACGCAGCAATGACATAGACATCTGTCATAAAAATAACCACAGTCACAAAAGCGTTTTAAGACGTTTGTTAATAAGAATAATGTTAACGCAAATAAAACTCAATCATCTTGAACCCAGTTTTCATTTGATAACCCTGTTTCTCTCTAACCTCCACCAACCATCACTTTCTTCCCACTTTTCCCCTGATGAACTCTCCTCATCTCTCTTCCTCTCCTCTGAGCTCTGCTGTCGACCCCTCCGCCTCCTTCATCCTCGCAGCCTGATTCGCTCCCACTCCTTTCATGCCATCATCACACCATATCTGTCGCTCTCTCTGGACCGCTTCGATTCTGCCGCAGTAAAACCTTTTTATCTGAGAGAAATGGGTGACAGGAAGCACAGAAGGAGGGCAGATGGAGATGGAGGTAAAACGTTGTAGCCAAGGGTTTATGAGATAGACCTGATATGTCTGATGGCTAATCCACCTCAGGAGGAGGGCGGTGGGGGAGAGGGGAAGAAATGCTCAGGTAGACCTTTCGCTCTGGGCAACAGCTAATTAACCACAGAGCGCTGGAGGGATGACGTGTTTGCAGGAAAAGGGGATTGAATGAAAAGAGGATAGGAGGGAGATGGAAAACAGCATGAAGGAGGCGAAAGAAGAAAGGATATAAGAGGCTTAGGCAAGAGAAATATGAAGAAGGGGTGGAGGGCAAAATGAATGATGACTCGAAGGTAGATGATAGATGAAGTGATGAAAATGGAAAGAGGTTGTGAAATGGTCAGTTTACCTACATTTTACAGAATCCTTTTGTGGTTTTCAACCTATAAAGTTTGTTTGGTCTGGATCTTCAGACTTTTCCGTTTAGTCTGAAACACAATAACTGGTGTTAAACTGGCCTCTGACCACGGTTTGGACCAATTGAGCAAAATTTAGTCCGACCAAGCGAGGTGGTGTCTGTTTGGACCAAACTGAACCATGGCTTCAGTGGTTCATGGTGTCTCGGGAATCTACAATCTACCCCAGGGGCTAAATGTAAATGTTATTGTAATAAGGTATGAACATATAAATGGGGACAGACACAGACCATTTAAGCTTTTAGAAACCAAAAGTAGTTGAAGATGTTTGAACTGTTCTCTTTTACTGTTGGAAAAAAATAGGAAATATAAAGAATATGATAGAGACTGGCGATCTACGACTGAATTCAGATCACTCCTGCCAGGGCCTCTGTAGAGTTTGAACCTGGTCAATGTCTCACTTTGGACTGGACGTTATAATCTTGTCTCATCTGAAAACCAAATCTGAGAACTGAATTCAGTCTCCTTTAGTATTGCAGTCGTGAAGCATGACCATCTGTCTCTGTACGTTCCTGCAGTCCCACTCATCGCTCCTGAACAGTTCAGTGATCCAGAGCGAGATGCCCAACATGGTTCTGGAGGGACTGAGGCCTGGGACCGGCTACGTGGTGCAGGTGAGGGCCCGCACCGTGGCTGGCTACGGAGCCTACAGCAGAGAGATGCTCTTCCAAACACTCACCGACGGTAAGGGGTTAGTGTGGCTAAAGTGTGTGTGTGTGTGTGTTTGTGTGGGCGAGCAGCATTTTTATGGTGTGGAGGAAAGAGAGTGGAGGACTAAGAGAGAGAGATTTGTGTGAGGTTGAGCAAGAGTGAAAATCTGTCTGTGGCCTTTAATGATATTTTATGTGTGTGTTACAGAGAGAAACTGCCAGGTGTATATTCTGCCTTCCAGATATTCTCAGTTGTGTGAGAGCGTCTTAAAAATAGAAAAATAATACCTCTCTATCCAATTTGTCTTTTTGTGTGTGTCTGTGTTTGTGTTTGTGTAGATGAGTATAAGTCAGAGCTGGGACAGCAGCTCTCCTTGATCGCCGGCTCTTTAGTGGCTGGAGTGTGTATCGTCTCATTGGTCGCTATCGCCATCATCTGTTCCAGGTAACACACACACACACACACACACACACGCTTGAAGTTTGTGTAGCCCCGTGACAAGCAACACGCTGTCTCCTCTCTTCATAGTATGTTGCAATGCATTTCTTTGGTTCCATAAAAAAGTAAAAGCAGGATACACAAGCTGAGAACATGGAACAGTACAGTCACCCAATATTAATATATTCTAAAAAACTTTTTTAAACTCTTTATTTTAACTTCACCCAGTTGAATGAAGAAAAAAAACACATTTCAGACAATATTTCTATTTTCATGTAACTTTCTCTCCGTGCACGTTGTTGTCTGCAGGAGACGGCAGCTGAAGGAGAGTTTATACGGTGACAAGCTGCCGCAGTACAACACAGGAGGTACGACCGAGACTGACACATAATAATTTATTAAATCACAACTACTGTCGTGCATCAAACTTTTATTTGAACTTTCTCATTTTCTCTTCAGAGGTGACTCTGAGGCCTGACATGTTCAGCGGTCCCACCCCCACCGTGACCTTTCCCACCCTGTCTGAGGGTCACAGTTCACCGGGGGTCAAGATCTACATCGACCCCTTCACCTACGAGGACCCCAACGAGGCTGTGCGGGAGTTTGCCAAGGAAATCGACCCCTCCTGTGTGAAAATAGAAGAAGTAATCGGATCAGGTAGAAACATTCATAGACGAAATATCCTTAAACCTCTGACTTACCCTCTGACTCCTCTCTCATGTTGTTTCAATCGACTGTTTAAAGAAAAACTCAACAATCATGAGTGCATTCATTCTATTTGTACAAGAGCTTTGAAGAGTTGAACAGTAAGAAAAAAGTCACCGGCCGAGCTCACAGCGACTATAAACTGCTTCAAATGGGTGAGTTAGAAGAGTGAACCTCGGTTTCCTTAATGAGACCAACTGTCACATGAAACAGAAGATACTCAGTAAATTAATCAATTTCTTCGACTGCCAAACTTCTTTTGTGTCAATGAGAAAGATCTCGAAACACACAATCCCGAGTTATTCTTTTTTTTCTCTTTGAAGTCAGGAGCGATGTTTTATTCATGCAGAAAACTTTTGCAGGAATAAATTAAAACTGCCTCATGCATTCTCTTTGGCTATCTGCGCTCGCACTGTAAAAATGCTGTGTGATGTTCGGCAAATGTTGGATGTGAAGTCCCAGAGCTTCCCCTGGAATATTTTTGGTGGAGTTGCAGTTTTGCATTTCATCTGCTGGATGGGGGAAAAAAAAGAGGTGGGGGGATGAAAACATGAAATGAAAAAATTAGGGGAAATGTATAGTTCCAAAAAACGAGTGCTGCTGTAGATTCTACACACCTGCCTGTCCAGTGGACAATGGTCACGTGATGTGGTCGTCTGGGCCGAGATGGTTTTAGTTTTATAACAACACTCGTTCAGATGTAGTCTATCAACAACACTCTTTCACTTTCACTCTTATATTGATAGGACATAAGTGTATATTTGTGTCCTCTACCTCAGCCCATCTTAGACAGAGGAATGTTTTGACTTCACGTGTTACACCCCTGATTTCTCATAACTTATTTTCTATGAACCAAAGCCAATCAAACCCAAATGGCCACGGAGCTCTGGGTGAAAAGGGTCACGAACCAGACTGAGACCCTCACCGCTGCAAATGTGTGCTTTGGGCTTTGGTCTGTTGAGCCACTGTGAGAGGATTTCTGTAATCCCTCCGTTTCTCGCTTTACTTCTCTCAGGGGAAGGTTTCTCACCTCAGCTAGAGGTGACGCAGGAGGTATGAAAACGACGGGGGGGATAGAGGGGAAAATATGAGATGTGGCCGGACTGTGAGCCCTTAAAAGCCTGAAATCTCTCCCATTCTGCCGTGATAGGAAGTGAACACGCTTTGCTTTCTCTTCCCTTCCACATCACATTTCTGTCTGTCTTTCTTTGATTATTTCCTGTTATCGTCATCCCGCTCTATGATTCAGCGTCTCTGGAGTTTCGGAGCTTGTTTGCTGGGAGAGAAATGCTAAAACAAAGAAGCAGGGTTTTGTGGGGAGGGCATAGAACAACAGATTGAGGAGGGAAGATAAAAAGAAGACAGCACCCTGAGGAGATAATAAAAATATCTCACCTTACTCTCTCTTCCTCTGTGAAAACGCCCCGCTCCTTTCTTCCTTCCTTGTTACTATCACTCCCACTGTAAGAAATAAGCAATTATATCTCACCTGACAGCTCCGCAAATTCATTTGGATCAAAGTATGTTTAGAAATACTAAAGATTTAAGATAATATTTATCATACTAAGTATTTTTTCCAGTGCTCCATACTCTCCTTGACCTCTCTCGTCTCACTCCTCCATCCTCTCTTTTATTTTTCCCTCTGTCATTCTCTCCGTCTCCTGGTTTACAGCACTGACAGTAGACATATTTTAATGAGCAGTGAGATGCGGAGCAGAGATCACACAGAGAGACAGGACGACACAGCCTGTCATCCAATTCCCATCACTCATCCATTATTCACACAGCGATTTTTATCTCTGAGATGAAGACTTTTATTTTGAAGTGATATTCAATTTTCTTGTCTCCAAGCAGCATATGGCTTCGTTTATTGTGACAAAACACATCAAGCGTCGGCACAGAAAGGACATTTTCTGTACATTGAGCAAGTTCATTGAGGTTTAAACGGCTCATATTGTAATGTTGTAACCAACCAACGTAGCAATGCATAAAGAAAGACACGACACGTGATCAATCTCCGTAACCATCAATCCGTCCCTTATCTGTACAGCTAATGCTTTAAGTGTTGTAGGTGGGCTGGAAACAAATCCTCGCTGATATTGGACGAGAGGTGAGGAACACCCTGGACACAGCCTACGGTCAATTTAAGGCCCGTTATTGATTCTGCCTCAAAGCTACGGCATAGATACGCACGGGGGCCTAGGCCGTGGTGAGCATTCATAGTGGCCAAAACTCGGGTGGCCTCAGTTTCTATGCTACTGTGTTGAGTTTCTTCTGGTGCCCAGTCTGTTGACTTCAGATCAATGCTGTCATCATGTTGAAGTTGGAGAAATTACTTTTCCTTAAAGAACTGCAACGAAGAAAAGAAAGACGTCACAGGAGGCGATCCGGCAGGGGTTGAACTTATGAACTTTGTTTTTCAGTACAGTCTGTTTCTCTGTTTCTCCACAAGGACACCTGGCTGCCTTTGTTTAAAACAAGACATGACTGATGTCGTGCAAAACCAACAACCCTAGACATAATAATGACACTGTTGACACTGTCTCCTTTATTTCATTTGCCACGCAGCACTTCTCTTATCCCTGAATGTAGTTCTTGAGGGGATTTCATTTTTGTCGTTCTTTCAGTCTCCACAACATCCCATGAATGTGCCTCTGAGCGAAAACTCAGTGTGAGACTCAGGATGCAGCTTCTCATTCTCGTTTCATCCCTCTCTTCTCAAAACCAAAACTATCTCCATCAGGACAAGCTCTTCAGCTTTGTGTCAGAAACTCCTCGTCCATACTGACCAAGTGACAACCCTCCGTGACGTCGCCCGTTGGTTTGTGAGCTGCTGTTTTGACTTCGACATTTTGTCCAGCGCCGTTTGGTTTTTGAAACACGCTTTACTTTTTCAGAGGACTAGGAGGTGGAGCCTAACTGAGCTCTTGAGGACGCTGTGCGCCCACGTACACCTGTGACCTGCACCTGTTGGACAGCTGCAGTTTTTCTGTCTTCAGTTTTTTTATATCACCTATATCTGTTTGTTGTATCTTCTTGTCTTTCTCTCTCTCAGTTGCGTTCACGTTCTTTCTTGTGTGTATTTTTCATACTTTGACCTTCTCGTCTGCTTTTTGTGGATTTTTGGATTCTTGCCTCTGCCTCCTGGATTTGTTTGCTTGTTTTCGAGATGCCTTTACTGCTTCACCTTCCCCGAGGCCTTGTCTTCATTTTGAAATAAATCACTAAACTGCATTTTGCGTTTTCCTCAGCAAGTATTTTGGGTAACGTTCTCAGAGATGTTGTCTACCTTGCTTTCACCAGTTTGTAAGAATCTGATTTCACAACTCACCCATTTTACATCATAATGTTTTATATTGAACGACTCACTGTTTTCTGAAAGGCACCTGCTTATTTTTGTCTTAGGTGAGTTTGGCGAGGTGTACAAAGGCCGTCTGAAGCCCGTTGGGAAAAAGGAAATTTCCGTGGCCATCAAGACGCTGAAGGTGGGCTACTCCGAGAGGCAGAGGAGGGACTTCCTGTCCGAGGCGTCAATCATGGGCCAGTTTGACCAACCGAACATCATCAGACTGGAGGGCGTGGTCACAAAGAGCAGGCCCACGATGATCATCACGGAGATGATGGAGAACGGAGCTCTGGACTCGTTTCTCAGGGTAAATAACAAACATTTTATATAAGTGAACTCCTGCACTTTATATAATATCTAAGGCTGTGATTGTCTTCAGGCGCCACGACAGACTATCAGCAAGAACGGATAAACACAACTTCACAGTTTTTAGGCCAAACAGTTGAGCTCAATCTGGAGATTTCTATCCAATCAGCTGCTCCTCATCAGATTGAATTTGTGCAGTTGCCATGGAAATGTAGATGTTCAGATATTTTTCATGATTCCAAACACCTCTGGGACTTCATTCGTTGATCTAAAAATAGTATTTGACAAATCTCAATTTAAAGCCCCTTGAAAACGTGGCTTCAAATAATTCCACTATACCATTAAATATTCATGAATTATTAAGCAACAATCAAATGTAAAAACAAACCCTTCAAATATTCAACTTCAAACCAGCAAGAAGACAACGACGACAGGGTCTCCGAAGTGTAGGAACCAAAACTGTCAGCGTGATCACGAAGGACCCATCAGTCATAGTAAGAAGCCGACTGAGGAAATGTGTCTTCATTAGTTAAGGTCCACGTTCTCGCTTTCAATCACAGCAGAAGGTCCTCGATGGCAGAAATGGCTCCTTAAAAAGTCTGCGCTCCAAAAATAACACAAAAACACTGACAGGATGAAGAATAACATGACGTACCTCTTCCAAACCATTAATGGTTTAGCCACCAGATCCATGTGACAGGTCAAACGCTTCAGAACAAACTGATCACTGGATGCTGAGTTGAGATTTTTTTGTTTTATGATAATTTATGAAACAGGACTTTGCAATTTAATTGAATCCAAGTGTTTAAAGTGACATAGTGATGCTTCTTTGCAGAGGGTAGCACAGGTTTCATCTGATCACTGATTAAAGCAACGGTATGTCACTTTTAATTGAGCAACAGCGCCCTCTGTAGTCACACCTGGGGATTCATTCTGCTGGGCTCCATGTGATTCAGTTGCTTTCATGTAGAGAAAAAGTCTATCAATGTATTGAGTGGAGCTCTGACTTTGTGGACCCACTCTGTGAACTGAAACATCCACACAAGCTTTTGCTGAAACAAATCCACCAAACTCTGTTCAGAATTCTCCATAAATTAAAGTTTTCTGCTGATTATTGGAGATAAACTCTGGGTTTTAACAACTTCTAAGTCTTTTTAACTGATCGACAGTTCAGCTTCACCCTTCAACCCTTGATTCTGTTATAGCTGCGACTCTCAGTGAGTTTCACACTAATCACAGGAGATCGTACACTCACCAAAGTTACATCCGGGTGAGGAGTGGGAATGAACGACATTGAACCACAAAAGCTCGTGTTTTTAAGGTACAACCGTTTGCATAGTGCTTTAATATTTAAGAGACCGATATAAGTTTGAGGTTGTTGTCAAGCTGCAGAATGAAACAATGCAAAGAAACGAGATGAAGTTTCTGTAAAAACAAAGACAGAAACAACCTCCTTCTCTTCTCTCTCCTCGTTTTCCTTCCTCCTCATCCTGTCTGTCTGTCCGCACCTTTGATCCTGCCCTCCTTTCGAGGCGCCTCTAAAAACAGAAAGAGACACTCTTTGATGTTCTGTTCTCACAGCGTGACCCCTTTTGACTCCGAAATCATCCGCTGACTCATACACGCGTGTACACACACACACAAACACAATGATCGATCTCACTGGTGTTGCTGTCCTAGCGTGACCATCTTGCAGGCACCAGCCCCTGAGGATCAATGCGCCTTCGTGTTTGTGTGAACCTTCAAGGTTTCGCCTGCAGAGGATTAGGCCAGAGGAGCATCAAAGACACGGTTTGATGCACAAAGTGAATTAATAGACACACTCACACACACACACACATACACACACACATCTTCGACTGCAACTATGTCAGGGGATGTTAGTGATGTTTATAAGAAACAGTCTGGCCCCAAGGTGATTGAGGAAAAACGCAAAAAGGCAAATGTTTTTGGCTCGACAACAGACCTGCAGCTCTCGTCAACTTTGCTTGTACACACTGAAGAAATACTTGTAAAAATGAGATTTAAGCTTTGGCCTATTAAAATGAATGATTTTCATTAGTCTGTACACTCTCATATTAAACTGGTTCACGTACGGAAAGGCAGTATTGCAACTGTAGCATCACGGACGTACATCTTCGGGACATGAAAACCCATCGACTAACATCGTCTAAGGCTCGGATCGTTAAAAAACAACTTTGGTTAAATATGCTATTCTTCAAAATGAAAAACAGCATACAGTTTTCGTTTGGCACTAGACGACCTGCATAATGTTATTAAAAGTATATGATAACTGATTAAATAATATCTTCTACTGATAAACTTTCGATGTGCAGCATGATGCCTCTGAGCTAAAACTGAATTTTTCTCCCCTTTGTCTTTCCTAAATTCAAACAATCTATATCAGTGTAAATAATGAATCCTACTAAATGTGACTTTATATTAACAAAATTAAATTACTAAACATGAATACATTGAGCTTGGAAAACAAATTAATTATCTTTCAAGTGCAAAGCAAACCACATATTTGCATTTATTCATTTTTTGTTTTTTTTACCAGCACTCAACATAATAACAGACCTCAGACACTTTGCTAAAACAACAGATTAAATATTAAAATTACTAAAGCAAATACTGTTTTGGCCTCACATTGAACATTTGGCCCCTCATCGTTAGAGAAAAAAAGATATGACATCAAGGCCCCTTTTCAAGAACATGCTTTTATTTTGAAAGTACAGCACCACAATAATTGGCCATAGTGCTAAAACATGTCTATAGTTACAAAAGAGTTTTTTTCTAAACTTAATTCCTAAATGATGTCCACAACATTTTCCGGTGTATTCTGCACAGTTGAATGTCATTTTCTGATTGGTTGGTTCTATAACTTGGTGTTATCCCAACATTCACTCTGAGAGAACTTGAGCCCACGTTCCTGACAGTGTCAGTATTCTGCTCCAAGCTGTGTTGGGTTGCCAAGGTTTCCAATCGGCCTTGGTTGGTGCACATCTGAGATCTCATGCAACAATTTTTCTATATTTTTCTCATGATTGTCAACTTTTGTGTTCGGCAGCTCAAAAACACACAGTGTAAAAAGGCCATAACACTAACTCAAGATCAACGGCCTGAAAAATAGAGAGTTGAATCATAAAAAGTTGGAAGTTAAACCATTAAAAATGACATTTCCAAAGATAGGAGTGGGTTTTAGTATTCTTTCAGTCATGTTTTCAGTCTCTGTCACAAAGTGTAGAACACACTATCACTCCTCCATCGGCAGAGTGGAAAAAGGTACTTCTTGTTTGTTATAGATCCAGTTCTGACATTTTCTGTGAACATCTTTTCAAACACTCCACTCTTTAAATAAGAAGCTTGAAAAGGTTTGATTACAGAAAATAAAAATCATCCTTGTGGTTTGTGGTTTTTTGCAGCAGAATGATGGCCAGTTCTCAGTGATCCAGCTGGTTGGTATGCTGAGGGGCATCGCGTCTGGAATGAGGTACACACACACACACACACACACACACACACACACACACACANTGTGTGTGTGTGTGTGTGTGTGAGAGAGATAAAGAAAGCGAGAGAGGCTTTCATTGCTGTTTTATTTTCAGTGCAGTCCTACAGGATTGTGTACATCTACCTTTTTTTTCTTTAGTTGTCATTCTGGAGTGTGTGTGTGTGTCTGCGTTTGTGTGTTTGTGTGTGTGGGGGTGGGTTGTAGGTTTGATTTGTTTGTTTCCTTTGCCGTCTCTCACAGCAGGGAGTCGGCATGTTGAGGAAAGCACACGGAAAATAAGGACATCAATTTTAAGTGTCACAGAAGTGTTTGTTCCCAGGAACATCAGACCAGAAGGCATCAGAACTTAGTCTTGCAGCTGATCTCTTTCTTCAGGGAATATTTTATTTCCCTGACAACTTTATTCCAATTACCTGCACAGTGTGATCAATTTGCTGTTGTGTCTATAACTTTTTATTTGATGCTGGCATAAGGCTGGGTGTGGTGAGGATCCATCTACTCCGAGCCTCTGCTAAAACTACTCTGATAACGCACACATTCACACAATAACTCCTGTTGATGTTAACAGGTACCTGGCAGAGATGAGCTATGTTCACCGGGACCTGGCAGCTCGAAACATCTTGGTTAACAGTAACCTGGTGTGTAAGGTGTCCGACTTTGGCCTGTCACGCTATCTGGAGGAAGACACCTCTGACCCCACATACACCAGCTCACTGGTAAGGACACACACACACACACACACACACACACACACACACACGGGACAGTCAAGCACAAAGAAATACACCCTCAAGAGGATACAGATGCTACAATCTCACCGTGGCCAAAAGATGGCAAGCGGCCTGGCTGTCTCCATGGCGATATATGTGACCAGGAGGCTGAAGACTCAGTCACAGTCATAAACTAAATCAATCCGCTGCCAGGCTAGCAGCCTTGTGAAGCATCATATTACAAATTAAAACCAGATTTTTTGTTTAGTTAACACTTGGATTAACACCAGCGTGATAAGAACTACTTAAAATGACAGAAACAATCTTTGAGAAAACCTTTCTGACACGTACTTTTTGACCTATACCGTAGACAGCCACCAGGGGCTGATTGAGATGATTAGGCTTCACTTTTAGCGAGCTGTCATGTCGTCCATCTTTATTTACAGTCCAGCTAGTAGGACAATAAACACAGTGTCCTGAAGGTGGTGCCAGAGGGGGAAGAAGGTGAATAAACATTTCAAGACATATCTCGTCTCAGTTCTTCGTCTTCAGCCTAAGCTGTGCTATCTAACAAATGCTAATGTTAGCATGTTAACATGTGTATAGTTGAGGGACATTAATCTTTATACCTCTTGGAAGAAAATACTTTTGTATCTCTGGTCTTGGAGGCTTTTGTTTCCTGTTTAATCCGACGTCACCTGCTTCCCCCATTGCATGTATGTGTGTTCTCAGACATGCGGGTTAGGTCAGGCTTATTGCAAACATCTAAGCTGCGACTCTTGGTGTAATTGTGAGTGTGAATGGTTGTCACTAGATGTCAGCCCTGTGATGGACTGGCCATCCGTCCGCTGTGTACCCCCCGACTGTCGCCCGTTATCACCTGGGATTGCCCTGCACCTGATGACCTTAGAAGGATGAACAGTATAGATAATGGATGGATGGATGATTCCCTCGTGCTACATAGACAGTTACTCGAGTCGTCCTTCGCTCGGCCATTAGTTTTAGTGATATGTTGTCGTGACTGAAAGTGTTGGGATTGTGTAAATCATTGTGTAAAAAGTCAGAGGTCATTAAGGACCAGTGTACTTTATTACAGCTGCTCGTTGGATGGTTGAGTAGCCTGTGTGGTTGGAAGGAGTCCGACTCCGGCAAAACAAGTTTTCTGCTCATAATATTTCCTTCAATTTAAAAAGTGTAAAAGATTATGGTTTACAAAGATGATATATTCAAGCCGTTGAATTTACAATATTCATAATATACTTATCAGACTTTTGCTGTTGCTGCTCTTTGCACCCGTGTTACCTCAACTTGTGTTTACTTAAATTTGATTAACTTGTTTTGCTTATATTTACATTTTACTGTATGGTTGCTTATTTTTTATGTTTGTTATATCTCCTATCCTCAATCTATATAACAGGCACAAATTGATTTGAGGATGACGTTGTTAATAATTCTTGCACCATGACAACAGAGGTCTTGAATGAAGCAGTATTTCTCCTAGACTCCAAAATCAGCAGCCGTGAGGACAAGGTTCTTTTTGTTCAGTCTTCTTTGTCTTCATTATAAAAGACAAGACATATGACAGACCTGTAAGTAGAGCAGGTGTTTTATCCATCTCACTGAGCTCTCAACATCTGCTGCTTCCTCTTTGTAGAAATAAAGATCTTGGAGAAAGATCGATCATATCCAGCATTATCTTTTAAACTTCAAACTGTATGTGATGCTACAGTGCAGCAGGTAACTCATGGATTATGTGTGTGAAATCAAGCATGAGCTCGTTTCTCATCACTGTGTCGGCTGTAGATTGTGAGGACTGTTAATAGTCAGTCCTAACCTTGGGATTTATGACAGAGTATGTGAGCTGCCTGTGGCCTCAGTTTAACACCGGGTGTGGAAAAGCATGTACTGGAAGTGTATGCACGTGAGGAGTGAAACTATAAAAACACAAAATATATATATATATTTTTTCCTTCCCTCTCTTTCCTCCCTTCCTTTCTCTCTCTCTTTCCTTCAGGGCGGAAAAATCCCAGTGCGGTGGACGGCTCCGGAGGCGATCGCCTACAGGAAGTTCACATCTGCCTCAGATGTGTGGAGTTATGGGATCGTCACCTGGGAGGTGATGTCATATGGAGAGAGACCTTACTGGGACATGAGCAACCAAGATGTAAGTCATCGTGTGTGTGTGTGTGTGTGTGTGTGTGTGTGTGTGTGTGTGTGTGTGT